TACCATCATCAGGTATTCCGTTGAATGCCCGGGTCGGTAGGCCCACTGCCTGTTTGAGACCAAATTGTTATCTCGAAAGACGTGTTTCACAAGGGTGTCATTTACTACCGACTCCATGATTTTGCTTGGAATGCTGAGTAGGGAGACTGGGCGGTAATTTCCCCTTTCAGTTTCATCATCTTTTTTGTATATTGGTGTGAACCTTGCGATCTTTCACTCTGAGAATACAGACTTCCTTTCATAGCTGTACTGGTAGAGACTTGTTAGTGCTGGTACAATAGCATTGCCAGCGATTCTCAACAACTTCGATGAAATATTGTCAGGTCCTGTGGACTTATTGATTTTGAGTGCATTAACTTTGGTTTGAATAGAGTGTTGAGAAATTGTGAATCCCTCAAGCGGAGGGGGGGTCTGTCGTTTTGTTCAGTGTTCAGTTTGTACAGAAGGTTGAACTTCAAGGTGAATTGAAATTTTTCAGCTAGCTTTTTGCCAATCGTTGCAAAGTACGAGTTCATTAAGCATGCCTCTTCACCATCAGCCAATGCGATGGTGAAAAGGCATGCTTAAATGAAAAATGATGTATTATTCAACGAAAGCGGTGTTACGATGTTGTGTGACACGCCATGTGCTACTTGCCGTATTTGGGCATTACCTTATTTGGTGATTAAAATAAACACACTTCTACACTCTCAATCGCTTCCTACATGTTAAAACAGCGGACAAACTACAACAGACTACAACAGACAACAACAGCGTGGGCAAAGAAATGCGAAGGAATGTTATCGTGTGCATTTGCCTTTTGTGTTAACATAGTTTTTTAGTCATGTGACCAAAAACGATCACTTTTGTCGCTAACATTACGCACGTCTCCGGAAAAACAGTCCACCTGTTTCAGTAGTATAATACCTTTCTCAAAGCCACCAAAAAGTATACTTTACAGATTAATAGATTCAGCGCAAAAATCATCTGTTGTTTGTTTATCACGTCCTTGAGTACCCACACGTCACCGAGTCCCAACTTCCTCGCGTCCCACGTCCCAGTGTCCCACATCCCCGAATCCCACATCTCCGAGTGCCACGTCCCCATCCCACTTTTAGTCACAGCCTCATAGCCTCATCTCAGACAGCCAAGGCTCTCTCATTCTCAATCATTCAGCAAAATTTGAAAACTAAACTGACCTGTTCTCTGAGCATCAATGAAACAATTTCCAATATATGCATACTCCATCGCCTCTGTAAGGAAATGATGAGTAATGGTAAAGAATCGCAACACTTCAATTAATAGCTCACTATGGAATGCATCACCACAACAGTGTGGATACTGACACTGAATAAAGAAATCACCGCCCCATTTTCAACAACCATGTATCTACAGTAAGTGTGCTTTGTATATCATCTTTTAAGGCAGTGGAGTACATTATGTTACAACACTTCACAAGAGGCGAGGCCACTGGTTTTCTTTTTATTCAAACCCACTCCCCACTGAAATCATTCAAGCTCAATATGGTCAATCTCAATTATGTAGTTGTTCTGTATAAATAAAAAATATAGTCATGCAAACACAATCTACCTCATCTGGAGAACATGCCACGAAGAGTAGAAGATCATCAACTCCATTGGTGTGGAGATTCCTGAATATGAGTAAAGCAAAAAGAAAATCATAACTGCAGCATTGTGACTGGCTTTTTGAAGGTACAGTTCCTTGCATGAGACAGAATTTGGTTCACTCAATTTACTCTTCCTGAAAGTACATGCAGTTACAGTAAAAAGAATGAACACTTAAAAGTCAATTCCCTTTTTAAGAATTGCTCATTTATTTTTGTCTAATATACCTCTTCTATACTAAAAACAGAAACAGCTGTGAGAAAGACGTCAGATGTTTGTTCTAAAGTGTGGGAGAAAGGGGAAAGAAATTGTCAATTAAGCTGTGCAGGCAAGAAAGTGTTTCTTTACAAGCATATACATCGGAGTGAGTAGAATAACAGCACCGGAAGACACCATTTATTATGGACCTTAATTTGTATTCAGAAAAACAGTATGTCTGACAAATAACAAGAATTGTACCCTTTCTTTAATTAGTTTCATATCAAACATTGAGTACAGTCCTGCAGATGAACAGCATATTTTCACATGGTTCATAACTCACCATATAACTTGATCATGTATGCTGGCATCATCATCTGTTCTCTAGATTAAGACAATCAAAAGTTCACACCAACATGTGATAATTATTATTAATATGTCTAATAGTAGTAATCAAATTAGTTTACATAGTCTCTCTATTCCAAATCAGTTCTCAAACATGTCTTCATGCAGTCTTTATTTCTGAAACTATTGGAAACTATTGATTTAGACAATATCTACTAATTGTAGTTTCCATCCTTGGGGGAATCAACTGTGATTTTTTTATACCCTAATTACTACATTGCAACTTCAATTTTATGATAATAAAAACCATATAAAAAAAGTACTAATGGTTAGTATGCGCTAGAGACAAATATTTACACGTACCTTTTCTGCTTGCTTATTTGCTGGTATGTGGAGAATGTTTCGTATCAACAACAGAATTCTTTCAATCAACAGAGAGTCTTCTTCTAGCCTGTCATCCCATTCCTTGAAAAATATTAATCACAGGTTCATGAGAAAAAAAACAACAAGAGAGTGCAAAACCTGGTTTTCTCTACAGAGAAGGGCAGCTAAATAACATGCAGTTGATGTAGTATGGTATCCCTGTGGATTATGTATACGTATCACGTGACTAGCACGTTGAGATAGATCCACCATCTTGATTAAAACTATTGACATTTATATTTGTCTCGTCCTGCTTCTTAATATTACAGTTGATACCACATCAAGATGTACTATTTCACAAACAAGTGCAAGGGTTTCATCCGGGTTTCCAAACACAAGAAAAACTGATGAAAGCACAAGGCAGTACACCGAGCAATTTTATTGTTTTCGAGCATTTGGAATTCCTGATGAAACCCAATGCACAAGTTTTTGAAATTGCTTCTCAAGCATGCTTCAGGAATAAAAGAAAATGGAAATATTCATGAATTTTTCACATGATGTTGGCAAGTTTGTTGTTGTTATTCAAAATAATTAAGAAATGAGTTCACTAGAGTTTGATGCTTTATCAAACTCATAGGTTTGATATTGTATGAAACTCATTCAAGTGTTTCACTGGGGTTTCAAACCACATGCACATGACAAAATTGGTCTGTTTTGGTTGGATGATCACCTTATGAATTATTTATGAGTTTGATGAATATTAAAATCAAATGTTTTGAGGGAAATTTCCCATCTATTTCTAATGTAAAAGACAAAGACTATAAGAGTAACATTTCAATAAGTTTTTCTTTATTTCTGTTTGTCTTGTATTCATGACAATTATTATTTGAAATGGGTGAAAATGAAAATTGCTTTTGGAAATTTAAGAACAAAGAAAAATAATTAAACCCACTACACTTTAATGTCTAATATTTCTCAATAAATTTATTCATACCATCTGAAGCAGTCTTCCCAGCTCTCGTCCAATAACTGACATCACCTCTTTCACTGTAAATGCCTGTAAGGGCAACAAGCAATAAATACATTCTACCAGACTAAGAAACTACTTTACAAGATAAATTGGAGGAATAAGCTTCCACATTCAAGAATGTCTTTAACTTGAAGATAGAAATTAAATACCTCTTTGTAGGCCTGCAGCTGAGTAACAAGATCTAAGTAGTAATGTTGGCCTGTTTTGTCATCAGGAATCTTATTTTCAAAGCAAAGCACAGCTGGCTGAGTCAAGTTTACCATTAACCTAAAGATGGAAAAATACATTTTGTGTAGGATATTCAATGATTCATCATGTGACCCTTACTACCCCAGTAGATAACAGCCGCATTGCTATGTTTGCCAAGGATACGAAAGTATTCAAGCAGATTGATTCCGCTGAAGATGTTGCTGTTCTACAAACTGATTTAGACCACCTTGTGTCCTGTTAATGAGACCTCCGTCTCTCCTTCAATGAGAAGAAATGCAAGTCCCAGATGATTACGAGAAAGATCCACCCGGCTGTTTCGCCATATATCATCAAGGAGAGCCCTCTGGAGAGTGTGACAACCGAATGCAATCTCTGGAGGCGACGACCGAATGCGATGTCAGATGATTTGACTTGGAGCCATCATGTAAATCAGATGGGCAGAGCTAATAAATTGTTGGGATACATTAAGAGAAATACTCGAACTATACAACATACAACCTTAAGACGCTTAATGTACTTAACATTGGTCCGGCCGTTGTTTGGTTATGCCTCGCAAATTTGGACATCCCAATCCGTGAATCTCATCTTTTGTATTGAGAGAATACAAAGGCATGCAACTAAATATATTCTGAAATTGCCTTTTTTGAGCCCTGTTTCTTATATGGAAAGATTGAAATCGTTGAAGTTGCTTCCCATAACATATTGGCACGAAAATCTTGATATGGTATTTTTCTTTAAAGACCCACGGTCTTGTTAAAGTAGATAGCAACATTGTTCCCCCTATTCGATCTACCAGAAGAAACACAAGATCGAACACTAATGTCATCAAATATACAGTCAGTAGATATAGAACTTCAACATTTCAGAAATCTCTTCTTATCAGATCTACGTGAATTTGGAACACACTTGCCGATGAACTTGAGCCTGATATGGACAGTATCTTTTCTTTTATGGCTACTATGAGGGGATACTATGATTCCGCCCTTAATGCTACCTACGATGTTAATAACCCCTGTTTGTTTGAAACTGCACATCTCAAGTGTTATCGCTGTAGAAGTCTTGTTATGCCCATTACATGCTGCATGTATTTGTACCGATTTTTAAGATTTTTTTTTAGCTGTTTTTGTAATTGTATCTATTTTAAATTTTCTTTTTTTTTAGTCGTTTTCTTTCTCAGGGCCCGCAGTAACTGGCTACCCACTGTTGTGGTTCCCCTGCCATACTTTGTAGTGGAGAAGTTCATAAATAAATAAACAAATAAATCCATGCTTTGGTTGAAAAGCATTACAAAAATATCTTTGTATCAGGGCAGTGCTTGATTATGCAGGGCAGTGCTTGATTATGCAGGGCAGTGCTTGATTATGCAGGGCAGTGATGTAAAAGTTGCACAGCCCTGCACATTTGCTGGTGAATTGAGAAAGTATGTACATACTACATAATCAGAGTTCCCATTCATCTTAGGTTAAGTAAATTACCTTATAACCATATCAAATATTTCTCCTTCTTTAGATGAACAACTCTTTAGAATGGCAATGAGATCCTGAAAAAATATGATGTTTATTATTAATAAAAGTCCAGACACCAAGGAGTTGCTTATTATCTTTAGGTTGCTTATTATCTTTAGGAAGCAGCCTTGAATAGTGTGTCAAGTCATTTCCTTGTCATGGTGATGTGTTAATCATTTGCTAGATGGATGGCATTGTTCTTCTTGTGCCAGCAACAAAGATATAATATTCACGTACATTTTGTAATACTTCTGAATATCCCAGCTGGCGTCTTATTTCACAGGTGGTGTCATCACGACGTAGAAACCTTACCAGGTCCTTAAGACTCTCTAAAAAATGTTGAACAAAAGTCAGTAAAGGAAATATTTTTTAGGCTTTGGCTGCAGTCCTTTCGAAGGACCTGGGGAGCACTTTTAAGTTTAAAAAAGAATCTGGTTATAGTATACTGTTGATTTCTTTTCAGTTTTTAGTCAAAAAATCAGTCTCACTCTAAATACAAACAGGCTGCCATGACAGTTGAGACTACCCTGCCTTAACATACATACTTTCAGGTATTTTACTGAATTTTCTATAGAGATAAAAAACAACTAAAAAGAGTTGTTTAGTGCTGAGGTTACAATTATCATTTCATATCAATTTTTAAAAATTTGGTCTGGCAATCAAAGGGTCAATGATAATGTTTACTTGGTGACATTTTTGCTATTATGAGTACATTTCAGGCCTGGAATTCTAGCAGAGATTGACATCTGCCACATCTTGAGCGTGAATCACAAGCAATCTCAACTTTTGATCATCTTACTAATTGTGAGTGTGGTACTAGGGAATATTGGCCTAAGGTTGTGGCAGTACAGACCGAGCAAGATCCACACAAAAACAAGTGAGGACAAATATTCCCTAGCACGGTTAGAGCAAGCAAGGTCAGCAAGTAGCTTATTACAAGGCACTCCCGGTTAGCTCAATTAGTTAGAGCGCCGGACTGTTGTACGGGAGGTCAAGGTCGATGGTTCGAGCCCCAGCCGGACCAACACTCAAGGTCTTAAAATAACTGAGGAGAATGCACTACCTTTCTATAATATCAAGAAAT